GCCATTGAAGGGAAAATTTTGGCAAAAATTGAAAGAGTGGCCGGAGTTCAAGGGGGTTCCATCCAAGGGAGGGCCCTTACCCTGCATATGAACGTATTTTCATACGGATGGTTTCCGGGCTCTGTCCGTCCGTCGGAGAGAGATGCATATGGGAGAATCATTAAGGCGGCTAGGAAATATCTCTGGAAAGGGGTGTTTGATGACAATGTAGGATATATAACAAAGGTCTTCTGGGATAAGGTAATTGTAGAAATGCACAACGGGGGACTAGGGATCTTAAATCCGGAACAACAAATCAATGCTCTGTTGGCTAGGTGGCCAGTTAAAGTTCTGCTGGATGATTCAAGACAACTATGGCTGGATCTGGCTGTACATATTCTAGCCAAAGAATGGCAGCTATCAAGACCACAGGACGTGGGAGTATGCCTGCTCAATAAAGGTTTTGTCAAAAAGAAAGTTAAATCAAAAGTCTGGTCAGATACTTTGGCAGTATGGGCTTGAATGCTACCTGAACAACAAGGGACCCCTACTTCTGTGGAGGAGGTCCTCCAACAACACATATTCGAGAATAGATGGATTTGTCAACCAAATGGTGGCCCCTGGTTGGCCTCGGAAGACCAAGGTTCCTTTGGGATTAGTTCGATTCAGAAAGGTGTCTCACGAATTAAGGACCTGTGGAACGTAGATACCGCTTGATGGAGGACGGCTGTAGAGTTGAGATCCAAGCTAAAACATTTCAAGCATGTATTTGAAAGGTTAGAACAGATTATAGTTAGCATCCCCTCACATTGGAAAAGCGTTCTCTCAAACCCCGTTCCATCCTATGAGGGGCTCTGGGTGACGGATGGCACGGAGGAGCATACCCAATCTATATGGAAAATAATGAGCGTGACACACGAAAATGCAGTAATGGCCGTGAGAGGCCTCATCACGGAACAGCAGGATGGACAACTGGTGATTTCACCGGAGGAGCAGCCTGTTCCGTTGAGAGTCAGGGGAGGATACAAACAAGTGGTAGTAAGAGTAAGAGAGCTAAGCAGGAAGCAACAAAGATTGGTATGCCTCCTAGGTACCTATCCGGTAGGCAAACTCAGGGCTCTCCCCTGCCATTGGGGCTGGTCCCCACATGGGTAGCAAGGGGACTCAAAACTCCTGGATTATGCCCCCAAGATTGGGTACAGCTTGCAAATCAGAAATTGGGTCACTCCTCTGTTGGTCAAGAACAAGTGGAATTCAAAAAAAATGATGGCAGGCTCGAAGAGACAAGAAGTCATCTCTTCAGATCTTAATCGGTTGGGGGACGCTAATCAGAGAATTCCATCAGTGAAAATGGCCAGCCTCACATGGCTTCAATCACACAGGGCTGCATCCACAGCAAAGTGGTTAAAAGAAAAGAACATGCCGGTACAGAGTAAATGTGCTAGATGTAAGAAAGAACCGGAATCTGCAGTTCATTTGTGGTGGGGATGTACTGAATCCCGTAAATCTGGAGATGGTGGGAATCACACTGGGTTAACTTCTCCAAGTGTAAGATTGAATGGGACGAGAAATTTATAATGGACGGCATTCGGCAAGCGAAGATATCATACAAAAAAGGCTGGGGGTATGTAGCCATGGCGGCGCGTGCTGCAATTATGATTGTGGTGGGGATATATTGAATCCCGTAGAATCTGGAGATGGTGGGAATCACACTGGGTTTGACTTCTCCAAGTGTAAGACTGAATGGGACGAGAAATTTATAATGGACGGCATTCGGCAAGCGAAGATATCATACAAAAAAGGATGGGGGTATGTAGCCATGGCGGAGCGTGCTGCAATTATGAATGTAATTTGGAGACTAAGGAACGACAGGCTCTTCAAGAGGAAATTTTACTCAGATCTTTCGACCCTCCAATGGATACTGGAACATATCAGGGCGATGATATGGGCGGATTCAAATAGGAGGAGAAGAAGCAGAAACAGATACAAATGGTTTTTTGGAATGGGGTATAGAAGGGAAACTAGTGAATAGGTGGAGGGACGGAGGTATCTCACTCATGCCATGGCTGCTTGGCCCAAGACCTCCGTGAAGGGCTCCGAGCTCAGACAACAGTATGATGCCTCATAAGGAGTGCTCTCCCTGCTTCATGTTCGTAGTTGACACAAACATTATATTGGACAAATGGTATCTCATCTTTCAGTAGAGATTTGGAAATCTTGGATCATTATGAGCACTAGGTATTCCGCCTAGGAAATTATAATTGCGGCTAGATTTGTTCATGTGTTATCTGGCGCCCTGAGATGGGTGAAGAGGCATGAGAGTTGTGCAGTTATTTAACTTTTATGTCAATTGGTTATTTATGGGACGTTGGGCACCGTTCCCAGCATGTGCAGCTCCCCACAAATAGACTGGAGCCATCCTTTGGTAACTAGTAGCTGTGGGTGCTCTTACCACCGCGGCTAGTAGTGCCCCGGATATTCAATTTAAAAATAAAAAAAAATTGTTTCCGTACTCGTCCCTGATGTAGACGTTATAGAATTTGTCAATTTGCAGCTTGGCATAAGGTAGCGGGATTCACTGACCAGAAGTCTGGTTGACCCATCCTATCGATGGAATGTGTGTGTGTGTGTGTGTGTGTGTGTGTGTGTGTGTGTGTGTGTGTGTGTGTGTGTGTGTTCTTGGATCGATAGAAAGAGCGAGTCAAAAAGTGGCAGTGTATATTTCCACGTTTCAGCGGAAGATTCATTTCGTTTT